GACTTTTTTCTCAGATTTCTAAATTTAATCTCAAAATTCTGACTTTTTTCTCAGATTTCTGAGATTAAAGGCAGAATTTAGAGGAAAAAGTCAGAATTAATTTTATTTATTTATTCCAGTGGTCTTAATCCTCCAAATGTTCTAAATTTGAAGCAGATAGAATAAATATTTCAGTTTCTCATCATTTCGATCCATTTGTTCTGTTAATATTAGCTTTCAGAGTTTGTGTTTATCATCATCAAACCGTCCAGTCCGCCCGTCCTCGTCCAGCCGGACTGGACGGATGAAATTAGAACCGTTCGTGGCGCTCTGCTGATGGGAGCCGACTCCTGATGAAGGAGGAACATGAAGAGACGTGGCTGTCGATGATAATTCACTCACAGCTGAAGAGATGCAGGCTTCGGCTTCACACCGAGTTTACAGCAGCAGGTTTCTAAAGGAAACACTTAGTTTTGAAAATAGGAACAAAAAAATTAAACCCTGATGATGGGATGGTTTTCATAACTGTAATTAAATTAATTGAGTTGTTTTATTATAACATTTCTGCCTCATTTAAACTGCAAACATGGATAAAAAAAACTAGTTGGAAGATTAAAGGAGAGACAGAATGATTAAACAGGCTAAAAATGCAACAATAAAAATCAATTATTGAAGAAATGTTTACTCTCAATGCTAATAATTAACKAATGTTCAGCTGTTATTAGCTAAAGTTATCTTTTTAAGCTAAATACACATTTTGTTGATTATTTTAGCTTCTTTCTGTTAAGTTCAGCAAACTTGTGCTCCTTATGCTTCCTTATGCTAATTTAACATTTTCCAGCTACATTTTAGCTGTTTTACTGCAAAGTTTGGCTGTTTTAGCTGTTTTACAACAAATTATCACTTACACTTTTTTCTGCCAATTAATTTTTTATCCTCCTTTCACCATCTGTGTGCTAAATTCAACTTGTGTAGCTTGTTTTTAAGCAAACTTTAGCCTTTTTTGGCTCCTTTCAGTTATTTTTCTGCTAATTTAAACATTTTTCTGATTCTTTCAGCTTTTTAAATTAACTTGGCTTTTACTGTTTTGCCATTAAACACTTTCAGCTCCATTTCAGCAGCTTTCAGCTGAAGTTTTCAGCATTAGGCGTTCACACTATAACATTTTCGCAGGATTTTCTCCAGTTTATTTGAAGTTTTTGTCAGAAAAGCCAACAATAAGCTGCTTTTCAATGTCCTCTTCCTCCTGTGGAGGAAATAACCGAACCTGATGAAAYGTTCAGATTTATTTCACAGCACATGCTCGTTATTTTCAGTCCCAGTTTATGTGTTGTTGTTTGTTGACACTGAATTTACGGAGCTTCCCTGCTTGTTGTTGTTTATCGATGAAGCYGAGTTTATAACAGAGCAGGAAGTTCTGAATGAGAGGAAGAGGAGGAGGAGGAAGAGTTATTGATTTCCTATGGAGGCTCTTTAATCAGAAGCAGTACTGACACATCTTTAGTGTGTGTGTGTGTGTGTGTGTGTGTGTGTGTGTGTGTGT